CTTCGCTTTGTCCGATCACTTCCTGCTGTTTCACGATAAAAGGAGCGGCTCTCTTTCAGGTTTAGTAGAATGCACGGCCTTTTGGTGTTCTTCTTTGACTTCTTCCTCGGGATAGAGGAAGAGAAGTGTAAGAAGTGGTTCCTTGCGGTGGAAGGAAGAAGAAATAAGAAGAAAGAAGAAGAAAAAGATTGTTCTCCCTTGAGTTCTTCTTGGTAGTTTGTGGCAGAAAAGAAATTGTGTTTATTTCTCTTGTAAGTTTATCTTCTTTGGTTTATCTCGGTGTAGAGCTTCTTCGGTGTATCTTGGTGTAGAGAGAGAACAAAGAGAGAAAAAGAGAGAGCAACGAAGTGAGAGATTCCTCTTATAAGTCGAAAAGATCGACTGGTGTAAATTCCTCGAGTAGTAAAATCCTCTGCAACTCCGTGGACGTAAACAATTGGCCGAACCACGTAAATTTGTGTGTTCCGCTGTGTTATTTTTTTCTGGTGTGAATTTTTCTCGTTTTATTTTTCGCTTCAAAGATCGTTCTTCTATTATATATATACCACATCAACGTGTGTATCTCACAACAAGCACAACCGAGTCTTCTTTCTCTATTTATCAACATTCCTCAGTCACCATTTATTTTATTGTCTATGTAGATGACATACTTCTAACGGGCAATGACCAAACCACCATAGATCACCTCATTCCCGATCTCCAAACTAGGTTCAATCTCACAGTATTAGAATCAATTAATACATTTCTGTCAAAGTTTTGAGAAAATATGTTTAGTTCTGAATAGGCTCAATGTCTTTTCTCTTTGTTTTCATTCCATTAAGTAATAATCTTACAATCTATTTTAGGTACAAAATATTCAGTATAATCTATTTTAGGTAACTTAATAATACATATTTCTAATCAAAATATTCAGCTAAAAGAGAAATAAATCAGAATAAAGATATTGAAAATAATTTAAATAAAGAAGCTCCTAATTATAGAAAACTCCTAATTTAGCTGCCCGATTTCCATTCTTCCTCTTCCTGATTGACACCCCCCCTCAAATTGATGTTGACAGATCAAGAAACATCAATTTGCCAACAAGCAACTTTGTCGGGACCAACAATTCTCAAGCCGTGAGTACCCGAAGCCGAAAATCCAAAAAATGAGAATGATGAAGCCTCAGAGAAAACTCCTGATCATAACATGATTTGAGCAAAGAAAAACAAGAAATCATCTATTGTTATCGTCCAGAAATTCAAATCATAGCCACAAAAAGGATTCGCGTCCAGTTACACGATCCAGATGCTATCGATTATAGCCCACAAATAGGATCCAGTTACATGATCCAGATGCTATCGTTCATAACCTACAAGTAGGATCCACATCCTGATCCATATGCTACCAATCATAGCCTACAAATAGGATCCAGTTACACGATCCATATGCTATCGATCATAGCCTACAAGAAGGATTCGCGGCCTGATCCGAATGCTACCGATCATAACCTACAAATAGGATCCAGTTACACGATCCAGATACTATCGATCGTAGCCTACAAGTAGGATCTGCGTCCTGATCTAGATGCTACCGATCATAGCCCACAAATAGGATCTAGTTGCACAATCCATATGCTATCGATCATAGCCTACAATTAGGATCCGCGTCCCGTTCCAAAGGCTACTAATCATAGCCCACAAGTAGGATCCGCGTCCTGTCATACGATTCAAATGCAATTGATTCACGAGGACGATTTGTTCCCTGATCTTCACGCTAAAAAGTGTTGAAACTGAGATGTCAAAGCAGTGAGTGCCCAAGCTGGTGTTTGGAGTCTAAAGTTGATGACAAGGCTACTAGCTTGCGACGAACGGGAGGGGGCTTCATGAACTGGATGCTTTGCGATCGAGGTTCCGATGAAATGTGTGTGTGCAGGCTTCTGAGGGAATGAGGCATGCGACAACGAGAGTTAGAAGCGAGTAGCGTGGAAATAGCCGATAAGAATGGGGTTTTCGTCTGAGGAGCAGCGAGCGACAATAACGGGCAGGGCTGCTATGGAGTTTTCAGGTTGGAAAAATGTTAACGGGGGCGTGTGTTGGGCAGCGGCCGAGCAGAGGAGCGGCGAGGGAATTACTGTGCGAGGCTTCGGAGACGGACGAGGAGGAGAGCCAGAGTAGGGAGACGGGAACTAGGGGTGCAGCGAATCAACGACTGTGCGTCATAAATGAGAGGGAGAAAAGCGGGATTTGGACAAATGAGGGAGAGGATGTGACTCCTGATCCGATTTCGCAGTTTTGTGACCGAACTCTAAGGGATTGGAGCTCGCTGGGGTGACCTGGGAAGTCATCGATGAAGATGCCAAATGTTGGGAAGCCTCCACGATCCACTGTTCTCCCATTCAAGAGTCCTTCACACAGTGTCGCTCCTTCGCATGGTGTCGCTCCTTCGTACAGTGCCGCTCCCCTCTGCTTCCACGCTCACCGCACCCAGGAGGATGTGATCTGCCGCTTGTTAGAACATGAGGGAGACTGAGCGCTGATGGGTAAGAGAGTCGGCGGTGGGTGCTGGAGCAGAGGAGGCATTGTCAAAGGCGGGAGCCACTGTGGGTGGAGTTTGAACGAAGGAGAGGCTCTGTGGAGACTGACATCGAAGACGACACAAACGAAGAAATAATGAGACGACAAATAAAACGAGAATCAAAAAAATAGTTCTTCCCTTCCCGTCCCACAAGAAGGCTGGCGGGAAGAGAGTCTTGACGTCCTCCAATGACTATTGATGGTCAGGGCAAAATTTTGGCTCTGATACCATGTCAAAATCAGAGCCAAAATTTTGAGAAAAATAAGCTGAATTCTGAATAGGCTCAATGTCTTTTCCCTTTGTTTTCATTCCATTAAATAATAATCTTATAATTTATTTTAGGTACATATTCTGTATAATCTATTTTAGGTTCTGTATAATCTATTTTAGGTAACTTAATAATACATATTTCTAATCTAAATATTCATCTAAAAAGGAAATAAATCCGAATAAAGATATTGAAAATAATTTAACTAAGAAAGCTCGTAATTATAGAAAATTTCTAATTTAGTTGTCCGATTTTGACCTCTTCTGATTGACAATTTCTTGGTACCAAACATCAAAA